TCTAGTTCGGGTCGGGGAGTCAAGAGCAATCGGTTCGGGGACGTGTGAGGCATCACTACGTGTCATGTGATGAAGCAATGCGTGGCGGCATCCGCCACACAAAAAATTGGTCACCGTAAAATGGTTATATCCTATGCGTCATGGTGAAGGCCAAATGTGGAGATCGTGGTGTACACAGCCGTTAGAACAACCTGATAGAGGGGTCGTATTTACAGACGGAAGGTCGTTCTTGGAGCCCACTGGTTCAAATATCTGTTAGGATGATTCGAGCGCTGGATCATATGTGTGGATGTGGGGGGGGGGGGTATGCTATGCTGTAGTTCTAGCAGAGGAGGCTCTTTACTGCGTACCCTCACGAATGTAAGGATGGGGCCGGAACACTTGCCATTTCAGAAGCTTTATCGAGTGGTGGCAGTTTTTACATTATCCGCGGGTTCGTCTACCCTCACCTCTTCAAGCCAGATTCTCAGACCAGATTGTGGGGTTTAACAGCTGTCGATGATGGAGTATGCCGAGTGACAAAGAAAACCTTGAAGAACTAAACAAGGATTCCTCCTGAAAGAGAGCAGGGGCGGGCTAGACGAGTTTACGACCCGCCTGCTCCACGGCTCATTTAGCCCGCGCGTATCTGAATTAGCCGCTACGCCGAAATATGCGATGCGTGTCATGGAGTGTCGAGGTAACTCGACCACACGTCAGGGATCAACGCCGAATAACTTCAAAGTTTGTGTAGACCCTAGCGTCAGTTTGCCGCGCACTTTTCGAGCAGCGACAACCGCACGTTTCGGACGCTGTGCGCTACCCTACCCACCCACGGAACAGATTCTACGACACGTCTTCTGCTGAGGGTGCTGCTTTCATTTGTATACGAATAGAGGAAAAGGTGTTAGCGGCTTATACAAACCATACACAAGGGTAAATCAACTCATGGGGAGAAACATTTTATTACAAAAATATATTCCAAAAATTGAGCCATCATAGAAATTACATCTGGAAATGAGTACAGATATGATAGTGCAGAATGTTTAGGCAGCGAGATGTGGTACCAGAGCTTGCGAAACATTTACCGGCAAAGTTAGTACCTAATCGTACTTATTGTACCTACCCGTATAATAACAATGAGATCTGAAAATGTGGAGATCGCAGGCATTCATCTGATAACTAGCAGGTTGTCCATTTATGGACAACGAGCACGCGCAGTCGCGTGGCGGTCAGATATGTTGCTACCAAAAGCGAAGTGCGCCCAATCCCAGCAGCCGTAACGGAAACGGACGAGCAGGGTAATCCGCATGTCGATGTAATTCAGATACTCCCTCTCCCCCCACTTGAGATTAACTCCCACATGGGGTCTGCCATATCGGTTTTCAGTATAAGGCCTGGGTATCGGATCTCTCCATTCCTACCTCAAACAATGCCTGACTTGTCTCAAAAAAACTGCAGAGGTCGTGTGAACGCTTCCTCTTCGGTCTGTAGTATAGACCCTAGAGGACAATCACAAATGTGGCGTTCCCGTGCACGGAAACCAACCGACAAGAGCGCTTGGGCCTTGCAAAGTAAGCTGCTGAAGCTGCAGTTTTTTCTCTTATCAGGCTGTCTGGCGCTCTCTCATCTGTAGCGCTCTCTCGCCTCATACTCTCCTCTCCGCGCTTAGTCTCTCATTCCCTTAGCACAGCCGATTAGGAAGGTGAGTGAGCCCTTAACCTGAGCGTTTTGACGGATTCTTTTCCTTTTTTCTTTACTGCCGGCCCATTTCGCACCAATACATTCGCATTCGTGTGCAAGAGCCACACCAATGTGATCCTGGGGCATGCCTTTAAGTAAGGGATGGTAACAATCAGCAAAAATTGCACACTCTAGGAACTGAACGGGGCTGTACTTACTGTTCTGAAAACAAAATGCAGTACTGTATATCCAATCAAAGATATCGGAGGAAACACAATCACAGAGGTGGGAGATATTTTCTCAGGAATGTCAAAATCAATTGATAAAATACAGGGGATTCTGGATAATAAGAAATTTCTTCTCAATCAGCACTTTCAGGTATCATATGTTCAAATTGGTCACGTAATAGGCTAAACAGAAAGACATCCACAACATTGTTGTAGCTCCAAATACCCGATTTTCACGCCATCCACTAAGGCGACCACTCCGAGAAGTCAGCTATTCCATTTGTGCTTGGACAGCCATATACGGTATCAGGTACCGCCACCAGTACTGAAATATCAAACAATAATCGTCTGCGAAATCGAGATATGTATTCGAAATTGTCCTTGAATCAACATTGATCTTCGGTGATTGAAAAAACGTGGAAATAAGAAAACAGGAAAAGGAAGGCAGTCAGCGCAGGTCAAGATCGAGAAACGGTGAAGTACATGCATACACCGAACCGTCTCGAGAACATTTTACCGATTCTCGACAACCACTCTGTCACAATTTCCTTGGAGCCATGTTACGCGATTTTGCCATCTTTTTGTATTTTTTGCTGCATTTTTACATCCAAACAAGGAAGTGGTTGTAGTGATCGGACCATCAGTAATGAAAAAGCAAAAAAGGAAACCGCTAGAATACGTTGAAATCACATTGCGCGTCAACAATTTGTGAGGAACTTGTTTCTCGCCCTGTAAGATGCCATTTTTGGGGTTCCTAACATTCTTCGCTTTCCTTTTATTGTTAGCGACAAATTAACAACACCTTGATTTTCGGGGACAAAATCCCACTTATTCAGTCGCGGAATGTGTCTTCAATCGCCTACTGTACGTACTAATAAGAATAATGATGTTCCCTTACCGTAATGTTGAAAATCATGAAGAATAGCGGAAACACGACTCGTGATACGAGATCAATCCGACGGCTGTGCTCCTGAAATATGCATTGGTAGAGAAACAACTCAACATGTTCGGAGGGTTCTTTAAGGTATAGTAAGCTAGGTGATGGATGGGGTAAATTAGGGTAACACTACAGATGGATCACTACTGAAGGAATGCAAAAAATGTTTCGGATATAAGGCATCGAAACAGTCGGACTTAAAGGAGTCTTCCGCGGAAGAAGCTCCGCGCCCATTACCCTAGAAAAACGGTACCCCTTAGGCCTTTAGCCTCATGAGCATAGCAAAAAAAGAACGGAACATAAGTGTTAGTTTCGAGAATACTAATTTCTTTTTCCGTGGAGGATCCCTTTAAGGTGGGAAGCCGCATCAGGAGTAACTTCGAGAACAACCCAAACGACTGACTGTCTGGGTACCACGAATACAGCTGAATTTGGAAAGTGAACGCCTTGAAAACATCAAAAACTGCTGTTCCGAAAGCTTATGCCTGGCAAGCGGGAGGCAGTGTAGTAGAAAGTGGTATCGCTCAATGAGCCAAGGGCCAAATCAGCTTCCAGCCCCAGCCAACTGATTTTTCATCTGTGTTGGCGGACTTACTGCGGAAGCGCGCCAACGAGAACAGAACACTGATCAAATTTACACCGACTGGACCCTACAAGTCAGTTTGTCAGTCAAATCGCATACAGGTATTATCACAATTGCTAATAGAAGCGGTGTGCATGGCTCACCCCTTTAAGGATTAATCAGCGAATGCTCCTTACTTTGTTGCATTTTTTGCGAGCAATTATATAATAAAAACAAAATTATAACTGCCCTTTATTATTTTGACACCAGGTTTGCTCCGCCCGCTATCGCGCGCATCACAGGGTAGGGAGGAACACGGAATAGCAGCATGATGTACTCCATTAACCACCTCACTATTGAATGTGTTATACCTCCTTATACCCCTTCTCTCCAGCGCATGGCAGCACATGTTCTCAAGTTGTTGACATCAATCCTTTTTGGTGTGGAGGGAACCTGGTAGTAAGTAAGAATGCGTGAGCCAGGGGGAATGGGGCCAATTCAGGGGGTGGGGGGTGTGTGAGCCACTTAACCTGTGGCAAAAGTTTGGGCCTTAGTGTCTGGTGTCTGGCCTTGTGAGGGAGACGCAGAGGAGCAAAAGGATTAGATGTCACAAGACCCCATGCTCTCACTTTCTTCACTCCCATTCCCTCCCTCTCCCCTTCCTCTCCCCCGCCGATCGCTGCCCTGCCGGCAGCACCATGTAGAATGAGGCTGAGTGTGCTCGTTCGGTGTTTTTGTAGCCATTGTGGGTGTTATCACAATCACCACATCAGGTTAGAATAATACGTCAACATGAATATAGACCTTACTCTTAAAAACGGTCGTTCTCTCTCAGTCTCTCCTCCCCACCCCCCTCCTTATACCCTTCTCTCCCCTCCTTCCAGCCCCTTTCTTGCCCCCTTCCCTCTACCCCTTCCCTCCTCCCGGCTGCCACGGCAGCACCATGTAGAATGAGACTGAGTGTGCTCGATCGGTGTTTATATAGCCGCTGTGGGTGTTATCATGATCATGACATCAACATCACGAAGTGTTGCCCTTCGTACTCCCTGGTTTTGTGAGCGGTTGGTCCGGACGGACAGAACGACACACACGACAAACCGACACACCAAAGTTCTGGTTTATATAATGAAGTGATTACTCACTTTGTATCGTATCTTCCACATTTTATCCCACCAGCTCAACGGCAACTCTTCTAACGTAACCTTAAAAAATACTGATTAGTTTTGAAATGCACCACTTGGAATGTTTTGAAAAGTTTTCCAGTAAGCTTCAACTTTTCCGTCACTGATAAATTTCTCAACAATTAAAAGTAACTGAGAATAAATAACCTATTACCTCCTGCTCTATAGGTGAGTAAAATGGGTGATCTTCTGCATGCCGCAAATCCGGATTTCTGGAATAAAAGAACATGATTGACCATTTTTGATAATTCATTTTTTATTATGTTGATAAATGACAGCGAGCAGAGTCAACCATGTTTTCGCAGCTGGAACTGCAAAGTATGGCACATACGCGTTCAAAAGTCTCTACGACCAGGGGCGCAGGTTGAGCGCATGGCGTGTCTCAGAACGCCATCAACTTTATCATAATGATGATTCCCAAAAAATGCCACTCACCTGAAAAAGAGCGGCGATTGCCGATATCGAGCCCTACTGCTCGCAACGAAGTCCTGTCGAGCTGCCCAATTCACTAGCGCAAACTCCAGTAGCGCACCGAATATAAATGCTAAAAGAAAATTTGCTACAGTCACAGGGATACGGTAATTAAAGACACAGGTTGCAATTAGATCCTTGGAGCATCTTTATTTGCGAGTGTGGTAACAGGGTTACTGTGCGCAGGAGCCTTGGCACTGTCGCGAATCGAAAATGCTTAACAAGGACGCTAGGGCAACTTCAACCGCTGCCACTTCAGCGCGTTCGCAACATACGTGGTGTCTGCGCCTTCTCATATGACGAGCTCTCTCCCGTATTCTCTCGCCTTGCTGCGCTGTGTCTCTCTGTCAATCCTACAGGAAATAAGTCTTTCATTTCATTGCTTTCTATTTCGTTTTGCTTCCTTTTTCTTCAACGATGTTCGGGTTGCACGATTTTAGGGGATTAACACACCAAATCGATTCCGCGTCCCATGCCTTTAAGGACGAATTCACGATGAAGCAACCCATTTCAACCTAGGGATGGTGAGTGGAACACGAAAGAAAAAGAACCATGAGAAACGGCCCAGAACCCGAGAAATGGTACCCCTTCCTTGCCCGTTGATTCGAGCATTGATGCGACTCTCATCGCTGTGCCCTCTTCAACACTACGCTCTCTCAGCTATCTAATCACTCGCCACGTATTGAACTACGGCGAGTGATCAGATGATCGGTGGGCGGAGATCGCCGGACCGCCAGCTTTGAGGCATGATAGGTCGCCGAGGTCAAATTTTTCCATGCGAATTGCGCGTCAGTTCGCACCCTCAGGAGGTCCGTGGGTCCCTCAACTAGGTCAGTTTCCCTTTCTTCGACCTTCATTCTGATATGAATTCCTCCTTTAAGCTACAGTAGCAGTAGATACTTACCCAGACATACTCCTATCCATATGTCAATTGCCTTTGTGTAGCTGACTGGTGGCAGATTCGCATTCACACCAGACGCCTGTGTGGTCATCGTGAGCAGTGTCGTTACTCCGAGTGTCACTCGAGCAGGAACAGAATCTTTGTCCAGCCTGAACGATTTCAAGACATTTGTTTAGCTAAATAAATGGAAGGGCGGAAGTGGTGTAGTGACAAGTGGCGCGCTTACCACGCGAGCGGTCCGGGATCAAATCCTGGGTCGTGAGTCGCCCGGGCCAACCAAGCCTTCCATCCCTCCGGGGTCGGTTAATTGGTACCAGACTTGTCTGGGAGGATAAAAACACTGACTTGTACATCGGCTGGCCCCCGCAAGTCATTGTATAGGCCACATCGCATTCAAACGCCACTACGAATGTACAAATGGAAGTAGAATGCGTGCCGCATCCCAAAAAGGGATTGATCAACGGCAAATGCTTTATCCTTTATTTTAAAGCACTTTATTCGTGAAAAACCTTATTCGGGTGAACTAATTAAGGAATAAAACAGTACAAATAAAGAATGGTTGTAAGTGTATTGCATAAATTTTTACTCAGAATATCCAGAGGAAGGATATGTTTCTTAGGACACGCGGCCATCGCCTACCTATTATGCGAAGTGAGCTCTGCTAAAGGCAGGGCCAACCGCAACGTTCGGTTCGATTAATTTCGAAGTTTCCGTTACCTTTCCAACCCCTTCAAGCCATTCCAGGCTAGGTGAAAACCAAGTTTGGGGGGAAGCACTCCTCGGTGTAATATTTTAGTGCTAGATAGCATTCCCTTTAGGCTCTCTAACCAGGGAGGTCTTCCAGGAAATGCCCAGCTTTCTCGAAACGGTTTTTTGCATGATATAGAGGTACGTGCATGGAACACAGAACTGTGGTTCATTTTTCCTGAGCGACCCTCTGAATACCAAAAAAGGAGCGAAGAAAAATTTCTTAAGGAACTGCCGTTCTTAACTTTCTTCACCAGTTTTTAGCCAAAGTCTACGTATAAAGGTTGCTGATGGTCCTAATTATAGATATGACATAAGTTGTTTACGCTGACGCTATTTTTCGCGAATTTTGAAACGCCAACACAAAATGCAAAAAATTGTCACTGCGAGGATTCGAACCACGGACCACTTCATCACCCCTTTTTTGTATTCAGAGGGCCGCTCAGGAAAAATGAACTACAGTTCTGTGTTCCATGCACGTACCCCTATATCATGCAAAAACCGTTTCGAGAAAGCTGGGCATTTCCTGAAAGACCTTCCTCGTGAGGTTAGGGATAAGATAATTTGTGAACGACTCGTTTGAAGTGCACTTTTGATAAGGACCGGTGGATGTCCAATTCCACACTTCCTGCCCACATCCTATCCAATTTTCTGCACCAGGTCATCCACCCTGGAGCTCCTCCACCCTTGCCTGAAGCAAAGCTCTCCATTCCCCTGATTAAGAACCATGTCCTTGAACCATTGCATGACGAATTGTGGAAGCACCCTGGATTTTCACTTCCAAAAAAAAACTAGTACCCAAGAAAACTATACTCAGTATCAAAACATATATCATAATTATCACTCACCAAAATGAAACCCACGACACCGCTACTAGCATGAAAGATGGAATGTAGAGCTGTAAAAGGTAGTAGCTGAACTCCCTTTTGAGCTCGATTATGGTGCGAAGACATGAGTAGGCGCCTGAAAGTGCATTTGTTTATCTTAAATCTCAACAATCAAACATTTAAAACTGTGTTTCAAAAAACACAAAATATAAGAACTGACTAAAATCTGTAAATTAGAAGAAATCGCCAAAAAACACAGGAACAGATTTGGCCAAATGAACAAATCAATCAGACTTGTTCCGTCATCGAGAGAACTTTCGTTTTCGAATCATCTACCCCCCACTTCTCCGCTGCAAAAAAAACCGGTTGACAGGGAAAGGATGGCCTACGGCGCGTGCGGTTGCAGCGCGATACGTTGAATGAGACAACCAAATTTTTCAACACTACCATCAATCAAGTATCACATATCTGTCCTAATTATCTATTTCGAGCAAACATTCGAAAATATCCGAAAAACTCACCTGTTGTGGTGACAGAAGTACAATTACCAGTTTTTACATTACTGAGCAGAAACGAAGGCAACGATTGGCGAAGGCCATCCTTGATCTGGATCGGTTTCTCCTCCTTCCAACCATACTCTTCAACAAATCAATAATTCCAAGGCTATACAATGAAACTCCAGTCAATTTCACGATACCGATGTCTTTTGTTGTATAAGCGTAGGAAGCGAAGTCCACCACACAAGTTTGCACATCT